AAACCACTTCACAGAGAGGAGTCTAGGTGTGGCTGGACCCAGTCCTAGTCCCAAACTTGGTCAATGGTTTATGTCTAAAGGATCATATATGCACAATCAAAGATATAATTTTAGTGAAGCTTCAAAGTTTAGTGTGCTATTTGAGGATCTGTTGCAGCAAAGAATCTCTCAACCTCAAGGAGTAACCTTGAGAGGGACCTAGAGAGGAATGTCTCCACCTCAAGGAGTAACATACTCAAGGGGAGATCCTGGCGTGCAGCCCGCTGCTGTGCAGGAGACCTCCAAGGGCTCTTGGGCTGTTCACTAGTTATAGGGGTAAGATAGGTGACTTACAGTCATATTTGCACACCAAACACAGTACCAGCGTTGTGGTTAGGTGGGCATGTTGATCAAGTAAGCTCTTGGCTATTGTGTTCTTATCCGCCTCCCCCAAATCCACTTGGGGCGGATGCAGCGATCACAACCAGACGCACCTGTTATGACCACCAGGGGTGGCTATCGCTTGGCAGGATAAGGGAGATAAAGGTCAGGGTCGGGGGCAGGGGGAGCACAGTCACAAGCTGTCTTCAGGCCATCTTCTTGATTCCTAGCTGCACCAGCATGGGACTCTAGTACCAGAATCACACAGAGACCTTTCTAAGACACTTGGGATCTGAGCTGCTCACACTGTCCCCATCCTCCTGGCAAAGGAGAAGGGACCTGCTGCCATGGCATGGCCAGGGAGGAGACAAGCAGTGACGTCTGAACAGACGTACCTTCTGGTGCACGGTGCCTTGTCAGGGTCCTGGCTGTCTCCTGCATCTCTACAGCTAGCCGATGAACTCGTTTTGGATCAATTTGCACTTGGATTAAACTGTAATCAGAAAAAAGCTCCTAGGATTTAGTGTTTCCGATAATTTTTGAGATTATGTTCCTCTTAAAGTTGGCAATTTTTAAACATCCCGGCTGGTGTACCTGTGTGGCATAGCCATGGAGCCAGGGCAGGAAAAGGAGGACTGCCACACTCACTGTTTCTAGCCATTGATCAGCATATATACACACATTGAGTTTGGGTTTTAATTCCTCTCTTGCCTTCTACCCTGCTGAAGCCAGGAAGTGGAAAGCAGATACTTTCTTCATCTTTCAGTTACAGTTCTTTCTTCATCTTTCGGTTACAGTTCTTTCCAGCTGAAAAGCAAAGCATGAGCAATTGGAAGTGGACAGGCTGTTACTAAAAACTGTGGAAAAGCCGATTCAACTGGCTACTTGTCTCCTGCATGAATAGAATAGAATAGAATAGAATAGAATAGAATAGAATAGAATAGAATAGAATAGAATAGAATAGAATAGAATAGAATAGAATAGAATAGAATAGAATAGAATAGAATAGAATAGAAGGTTCAGCACTGGCTTAACTAGACTGGCCTAAGCTAAATTCCAATTTTTTTTTAGTGAAGGGGAAGGGATACCATTCCAGTGAATGTTGAGGACACAGTGACTATTTCAATAGCTGTCAGCCAAACTTTCCTTGTGTTTGGTCTCTTAACTTTGCTTCAAGCCTTCTAACCTGGATACTTCTCTAATTGATTAATTGTGGTTCCCTTATTTATTGGAAGATACTGAATGGAAGAATTTGTTAAGTTTACGCACATATTTGAGTTTTAAAGGTCAACACTCTGACCTAATTGTGAAAGTTTCTAGAGATTCAACTGGTCACATTAGTCGACACGATATCAAAGTAATACACTCTCCATTATTAAATACACTTATGCTCAGTTTTTTTACACTCACTTAACCTGATTGACTATTGCTTCCACTAATCAGGTGCTGAAATGTACAGACTAACTGAATTAATTAAAGCAAGCGCTAATGCAAAAGCTATAGCAAGCCTATATATAGCAAGTTCAAGCTCCCCTTCCGAGATTACGCAGACGATTTGTTTCTATTTCCCCTCATCATGATGTTGCCACTTATCCCACCTCCCCGGTGACTCAGTGTAATTAACACTGTAGCTGAATCAACCCGCATTTAGGAGACGTTAGAAGATAACACTGGTGCTGGGGGAAGGCCGTGCCCTGGCCCGGGGCTGGGCCCTCCCCGCTGGCAGGGGGCGGATTTTTCTCAGGCACAGCGACACCCCTGGCCCAGGAGGCCAGGACGAACCACCCCCTCCCCTGACGGACCGCTGCCCC